CAGAAGGCCGGGGAGGCAGGCGAGGCGGGAGGAGGAAGCTGGGCTCGGTTGAGAACCGCGAGGGGCGAGGACCGGAGTGACTTCGCCTCTGCGCGGAAAAGCCACCTTCCCACCGGCTTCCTCCGCCCGCAGCCCTAACCCTCTCCGCAATAGCAAAGGGATATAAGAAAATCCTGACCGAATCTCCCCCCCCGCCGTCCTTCAGACCGGACACCTGATACCGGGTGACAAGTTGCCTCCTGCCCAGAGACATCGTAGGACGTGTCTCTTCCCCCTTTTAAAGATATTGGCAGCAACCCTGGCTGCATCTTGTGTAGGGGAGTTCCACAGGGTAATTCTTCATGGCATGAAGGGGTTCTCCTGGTCTGTCAGGGCACTGAGTTCAAAGCGAGAGAAACTTGATTTTCTCTGCCTTTTTTACATCATGGGTAATTTTATACCCCTTCTCCTCTTAAGCACCTCTGAGCTGCCCTGTAACCTTCCCCTCCCCCATAGGTGCCTCCCTCCTGCCCCTTAATAATTTAAGCTGCTATTTTCTCCATCTTCTGGAGCTCCAGAGTATCTTTTTTTAAAATATACATTGACCCGAGCAGTAGGTCGAATTCCAAACGTATTGTAATATTCTGTCCCTCGGAACTTGAGGCTCATTTGGTTAATGTTTCTTTCAGGGTCCTAGGAAGTTGCCTTAATTAAAATCTTACAATGTATCCCTCTCACCCAGAAATGAGCAACCTTTCCATGGTTGCTGTTATTTGGGGCGCTTCTTTTACTCATTGATTATTATACTTTGATTCCACCCTGTGATCCAAGTCCACTGGGTGGATTACAAGAACGCCCCCAAAAACATAAAACAGTAAAAGTCCATCAGTAAGTAAGTAGCATTGTCATGATGTAGAACCTAACATCTGCTATCCCAGCGTAGAACAGGCACGTAAAAATCAAGCGGACTGCAAAACTTGCAAAGGTTGGGGCTAAGGGAAGGGTTTTACCCTGGCACCGTAAAGGTAGCAGCATTTCATATTCATGGAGGGCATTTCTTAAGTGGGTCCTTCCAGCCAAGAAGGCCATCTCGCAGCCACCAGCCTCACTGAACTTGGCAGGGGTACCTAGAGGAAAGCCCATGAAGAGCCTGGAAGAGGCCTTCTTTGAAAGTTTGTGCCTCCAAACCTTTAAAACTCAGCCCCAAGACTTTAAACAGGGCCTGGAAACAGATACAAGGCCATCAAGTGAGCGGGGGGTTGTGCTATAACTAGACACTGGTTTTCATGCATAGAATCGTGGAGGTGAGGGGCTGCCCCTCCAGCAATAATGCTTTCTATTTATTTTATTTATTACATTTCTACGCTGCCCATCTCACTATACAAGTGACTCTAGGTGACTTACGCATAAAAAATGATAAAAACAATAAAAAATCTTTACAAAATGTATATATACTGTAGTTTTCCACAGACAAAGGGTGGCTGGGAAAGGAGATGAAGGATTTCCCCCAAAGAAGGAAGAGTAGTTTTTCATGGTTCTTATCAAGGGTGGTAGGGAAAAGTAGACAAGGTTCTTCCAGTTTTCTGTGCTGTAGAGAAAGGGCCAAGGTCCTTCCAGGTCCTGCCATCATCTGCTGCTGCTTCTAGAACCAAAATTAGGCTCCTGTCCCCAGCACAATCATGCCTTGGTAATAGCAATTTCTTTCCTTGCTCCACTGCACTTGCCCTTGTTCCAGCCAATTGTGAAATAAGCTTTGGAAATAAGAAATAATTGTGAAATAAGCTTTGTGAAATAAGGAATAATTGTGAAATAAGCAAAAAGAAAGAGTGGTCTAGTGGTGAAGGCACCAGACTAGAAACCGGAAGACGGTGAGTTCTAGCTCCACCTTAGGCGTAAAAGCCAGCTGGATGACTTTGGGCCAGTCCCTCTCTCTCAGCCCAACTCACCTCACAGGGTGGTGGTTGTGGGGAAAATGGGAGGAGGAGGGTGTATTAGGTATGTTCGCTGCCTTGAGTTATATAAAAAGAATAATAGCAGGATTAAAACATTAAAACATTAAAAAGCTTAATTATCATTAGCTGTCCCAGTATAAAAGTGGTATTTCCCCCCTTCTGACTCTCTCCAAGGACAGTCTCAAAGTGAACACAATCTGTTACATTTTCTCTCCTTCCAGGGAGCATAGTTGGTGTGATCAGAGATGTGCCTGGGGAATGTTAGGCCACTTGGAGCTGCCTCTCTCCTCTGCTCGCTGGCCCCCCTCTCCCAATGTTGTCCCTCCCCTACACTTCATCTCCTTTCATACCCCTCACCTTTCCCTTCCATCCTTTCTGCTTTTGACACCCTCTAGGCTTCCGGTAGGAGAGGAGAAGACAACGCACCTCCCCTCTTTTATCTGGGGAGGAAGAGGGAGCAGGCTTGCACCTTCCTCACTGCAGCATCTGCAAAAATAACGAGGATGGCGCTTTCCTCTTCTGGTCAGTTTCAGCCCAACGCCCCTTGAAGGAAAAGCCTCCTTGCCCATCAGCTAATCGGTTTCAGTTTGCTGGTTCTACATGGTAGAGTCCACAAGGCCTAGCTAGTGTCGATCATCTCCCTGGGGCTGTTGCTTCCCTTCTGTTTCTCTTATTTAACTTGGGAAATGCCCAAGTAAGGCAGAGAAATGAGACAAGTAGAGACTGGAAATGAGGCTCGCCTGTTCCTGCTGCAGAGCCCTGGTTGGTGGACGCTTGTCCTCTGGGCTGGAGGCAACTGACAGGATGGTTGAAGAACCCAAGGGGAAAACCAGTGCAGTGAGTGCTGCGCCATTCAACAGTGACTCAGTACAGATGCAACAGAGGCAGGATAGGGACTGGTAATGAGGACAGCAAATGTTTTGTGCCGTCTTATGGATGGGTGGATTGCCCTAACTCATTAATGAGGGAAGCATGCAAAAAGTGTGTTCTAGCTGAGCTATTATCTTTCTGGGTTTTGCGGTTCTCTCTGAACTCATTTTCTGGATCTGGTCACCCTGAACTAGGTTGCCAGATCTGCGTTTATGAATTTTCAAAACCAGGGATTCGTTTCTGAGACAATTTAACTCCCTGGCAGCAGAAATCCCTTGCTGGTTAAACAGTCCCTATGGAAGCAAAGTAAGGCAGGGGGGTGGGGGGAAAGTACTGAGTTCATTTCTACAAGGAATAAGCTGGGACACTGCAGGGGTGAGTGTCGTGTGCAAGGCACTTTACCACAGTGGTTGTTAAAATGCCAGGGTACCTGGTTTGATTGTCATCTGTTTAAATGGAAAGTCGAGATTATTCCAGATTAGCAAGGAATATAAAAGGCTGACATGAAGCATTTGATTTTACAGTCATACTGTCTCTCGCTGTGCACACAAAGCGCCACAATGATGCGTTTAATAAGCAGCTGGGTTCATTGCAGGTGTAGCGAGGAATAAATAAAACCCTTGCATAATGGCTTATCCGGACATGAAAAGCAAGCCCTGCTCTCCAGCAGAAGCTATAGAGTTAAAAAGATACGCAGCTCCCACTGAGTGGCTTTGTTTATATCATTCCACAGAAGTATAGAAATCCTCGTTGGTAATTTTAGTCCCTGCCCTTTTGCCAGAAGTGTGTATGCAGCGTTCCTAGAGAACCTCCCCCAGTCCTTGGTCAAGTCGATTTCTGGCCTGAAACCATCTCTCCTCCAATGGCAAAAGGGTGTGCGTTGAAAAACGAGGTCAAACGCTTTCATCAAAGAGCTTCCGGGAGCCCTGCAGATTTTACCAGATGGGCTTTCAGTCAGAGCAACTCCGTTTAAAAGGCCTCTGCACAGCTCTTGATTCAGCTGGATCATCAGAATAGTGTTGCAGTACTTGTTTGGCTTGTAAATGGTAAGGCCTGATGGCATTGTTATAAAAGAGATAACTAGGTGTAAAGGGAAGTTCTAAAGCCTCATTCTCAGTCTGTGAGAAAGGCTGGTTTCCTAGGAGACAAGATACCTCAAGGACGATGGAATTGCACATCCTTTTCACACGTGCTCCCTAACAAAGAAACAACACGTATCAAAGCACCCCTTTGCAGTGTCTTCACCCTCAAGATTTAGGAACTCAGCAAAAACTTGTTATCTCAGCTTCTTGAGCCCATGTCACGGCCTAATGATTTTTTTCTGTGCCGGCCATGCATACTATATATGTATAACCTATATATACTCATATTAACGATCCATCAATAAAACAATTGTTTGGATTCTGTCCAGTTGTTTTGGTAAATTCTTTGTTTTCCACCATGCCTTTCACTTATGTATGTTCTTGGCCATAATCATGAAGAAACTATTCCCCACAACAATTGTGTTTGGAAGTGCAGAATCCATGGGCTTTGCAGAAAGATCTTCCTTAATGGCACTGTGAGAAAAAAGAAAAAGAAAAAAAAACACTTGAGAAGAAGGATTGCATTATATTTCTCATGCTGGCCTGGACGTCTATTTGCTGCTGGGGGAAAAAAAGATCAATTCTTTCACAAAGCTATAACTGAGTGGAAAGGGAAGAATTTTCATGTTTGATAGCAAGAAAATGCTATTTTTGGACCCTCTCCTTTCTGGCAATCATGTGGTTGGTATTTTCAGGATGTTCAGTATCTTTAAAGCCCTGTTGCAATGTGTGCTAAGCCTCTGAAATCATGAGGATTAGAAGATCTTCATTTCTAGCTTTAGAAGTTCACATTCACTTTTCTTTCCCCAGCACAATTAGACAGACGCCACTCTTATCAGTCCAAAACTTACTGAAATGTATAGCAAGATTCATATGTGCTGAGCCATAATGCAGTTTATTTGGGTTTGCCTATTTGAATTGTGACTTATTCAACAAACAGTGGTTCATCAGTGGCTAATAAGCTAGAAATAAATATTACTACTTTACTACAGAGTTGAACAAGATAGTTGTCAGGCCCAGCTCAAGAACAACGATGAAACAGTCCAGTCCAGTTCCTTTATTTGCCTATACCTTATAGACAGAATCTTGCCAAACTAAATCTATACTACAGCAACTAATGGATATACCCTGGGAGATTCTAGGGAGTGGCTATCCTGAATATCTTAGTCTTCCCACACTCTCCCTTTGGACTATGCTGCCTCTTGCCTCCTCCCCCCTCCTGGAATTCCTGATAGCCTTGATCTCCCACATCACTCTCCTCCTTGTAGATACATTCCATCACAGTAGTACTCCTACATTGACCTACACTGATCTTGAAGATCTATACAGTCTGTGTTTGAGTAATCACTGCAGCCCAAAGATTTGTTTGCAATATGCAAGCTCTACATGTGGATGGAAAATACGATAACTTGGTTCCCCATCCTTCAAACATAGAGGTTTCTGCAGCGAAACAACTTGCTATCTGGTATGGGCTCAAATGTAAGGTATGGAAAGGTCTCTCTCATTTCAAGCGCCATAAACCCCAAGCTATTCTTTGTTTAACTATTCTTCTTCTGTTTGATTTGTAGAATAACCAACAATGAGGAAATCCCTTGGGACCAGCTGGATTTTACTTCTCCTGCTCCTGCTCCAAACGGATCCTTCTCTTTCTAAGAAGAAGCCTAAACCCGGCGGTGGCTGGAATACCGGGAGCCATCGCCAGCCTGGCTACCCCCAGCAACATCCTCCACCTAGACCTAATTATCCACAGGGTGGTTACCCTCAACCCTATCCTGGCTATGGAGGAGGCTATGGAGGAGGCTATGGAGGAGGCTATGGAGGTGGCTATGGAGGCGGCCAGTACAGCAAGCCCTGGAAGCCTAAACCACCGAAGCCCAAGATGAAGCATGTGGCAGGAGCAGCTGTTGCCGGAGTGGCAGCGGGTGCAGTGGGTGGTTACCTCTTAGGCAGAGCCATGTCAAACTTGAATTTTGGCTTTAACAACCCTTACGAGTCACAGTGGTGGTACGAAAACCGCAACCGCTATTCTGACCAAGTGTACTACCCCAAGTATGACCAACCAGTTTCGAGGGATGTCTTTGTGAGAGATTGCACAAATGTCACTGTGACTGAGTACATCGAGCCCAGTGGGAACAAAACAGCAGATGACATGGAGAGAAAGGTGGTGACACAAGTGGTACACCAGATGTGCACTGAGCAATACAGGTTGATGTCAGGCGTGGCTTCGCTGCTCGCCAACCCTTCTGTGCTTGTCATGGTTACACTGATCTTATGTTTCCTGATACACTGAGTTGTTTTCCTGCAGCTTCTCTCTTGTCGGTCTAGCAAAGCGGAGAAGGGATCTCTCTAAAGCGTACAATTGGTGGGAGAATAAATTCTTGTATGTGCAGTTTTTTAATGGAGTGTATTTAAGAGATGTTCTATCTCCTAAGTATTCTTGAACATACTGGCTTCTGCTGAGCACATGTTGTCCCTTCATAGCCACCTGTGATTTTGTCTTTAGTTTGCAAAAGAGTTTTGGGTGGGGAAAGGAGAGACATGAGATCATTTTGTAACAAACCCAACCCTGCTAGAAACCTAATCCCATTCTTATATATTGATCATTGAGCCTGTGCTTACACAAAATATAGCATACATAAGAATGGAAAACTAATTTTTGGCCAGCTACTATTACACTGCACCTTGCTAGAACACTTTCTTTTATTTTTATATTTAACGCAGCAAATCATTTTGTATTATCACAAAACCTGGCTTTGAGAAGGAGAGAAAGAAAGTTTTTATTTCATTTCATTTACACCTATCATCGTGGAATATGTGTGGGAATAGGAAGCACGAGTGATTTCTGCTCCCCAACTTGAAGTCGAATGTTAATTTTTCCCATCCACTTCTGCAGTGAAATTAGACAGTACTACTCTAGGAACATATTCTTCTCACTACAGGGAAGGAGGAGATGTGCAAAATATCCACTTGAACATCCTTCTGAAGTTCAGGGGGCTATCTTGAGAGTTAAAATGAACACAAGATATTAAATCAGAGGAAGGAATCCCATCCATGTTATAGAATGTAGGAAGTAACTCTGACATTTCTTTTGTGACAAACCTTGAAGAGCAGGAAACTTGGTTGCCTAAATATAAGAAAACAGAGTACGGTTGGGATTCCAAAAGGCCAAGTATGTCTTCACAAGGAAGGATTTGTGTTTCTTAAAGTGCTTTGGCAACCAGAGCTGATCTATAACAGCCCTGGGTCTCTAAAGTCTTGAGTGGCCCATCCACCATGATCGATTCCCTCATGGACATTTTGAAGACTATTCCATATGCAAGAAAAAAAACTTGTCTATGAAGCACAATTGTTACAGACACAACAGAGTGTGGTTAATCTTGTTGAGGCCAAGTAGCCTTGAGACAAAGGTACCATGGTAGAAATCTTTTAGTCGGGGGGAAAAAATCTTCTATAGCTCACTTTTTGGAAGGTGATGGAGCAGGATGAAATATTATTTCTGTTAAATCATTTCTGAAATTATTTCCAGAAATCTAAAGCTATTAAAAACTCTTAACTGTCACAGTAGCACTTCAGATTTCAAGGATATGATGAAAAGTATCCTTTTTAAATGACTAGAATATAAACTTCTAGAAAGGGCTTCCAAGTCCCTCCTTTTTAATAATTGTGCTGATTTAAATGAAATAAGCTTATTGGAAAGTTAATGTTAATAATTAAAGTTAGGTGTAAGGTAGCATCCAACAGTTCCTTGGACCACAAAATCACTAGGAATTTACCGTTTTTAATTCTGCAGAACTTTGGAATTAACTTTAACTTCCAGTACCAAAGTCCCTTTCATTGGCTTCTTTAGAAAGAGAAGAGAAATATTCACAAAGAAACTAAAATTTAGAACTCTCTCTGGAATGATTGGAGAACCCAACAATGTGCTAATAATTCACAGAACATCTTTGTGCATGAGAAAATAACTCGTGCCCATCAGCGCTGATGTCTTGGCTGGCCCTAATACTGCAAGTTAAGCAAGAGGGAATGATTTTGTCTTCAGCTACATGCCAGAATAAGAAGTTCATGGGTAGACACTAATCACCTTTGGGGACAAGAGTCTGAACAGTCTAACCTAGGGCTTTTCTATGTGTGGGCTTGTGAATTGATTTTATGGAACCATGTTTGGCATCTGGCACCTTTCTGACTGAGGAAATACGTTAGAGTTGTTCTTTAAACATAGTTGCTACAGACACTTTGCTCCTTCCGTACCTTGTTTTTGCTATTTTTATTGTTTTATTTATTTATTGTAGGACTACTTGGACTGGTATGCAAAAGTTGACATTGCCTCCACCAGTGTCACATTTTGACCAAAGGCTCTGTTTGTTAAGAGAGTTTGTATATTTGTTATTTCTCCACTGTATACAACGAGCCTTAGAATATTACTTCTAGAAACACAACAGTCACTGGAATTTAACTAGTTTTGATGATGCCATAGTTATTTAATTTTAAGACCTAACTGAAAATTGTACCCTGGGTTATAATAATTTGGTCTGTCCTAATGTTTTTGGCCTGTGGTATTTATAAAGGGTACTTTTTTTTTTTTTTTTTTTTACTATGGTGTATTTCAGTTGACTTGCTGATTGACACTGTGCTTGTACCAGAATATAAAAGTTTTTGGCCTGTGGTATTTATAAAGGGTACTTTTTTTTTTTTTTTTTTTTACTATGGTGTATTTCAGTTGACTTGCTGATTGACACTGTGCTTGTACCAGAATATAAAAGTTTTTGGCCTGTGGTATTTATAAAGGGTACTTTTTTTTTTTTTTTTTTTTACTATGGTGTATTTCAGTTGACTTGCTGATTGACACTGTGCTTGTACCAGAATATAAAATGTTAAGTATAGTAAAAAATATAATGGGGTATGCTCTTAGCCTACTGAGTGTATCTGATATATATGAATATTTTGCCAGGTGATTATTGTACAGGCCAACTTTAAATATTGTTGTTCTAATATAAGAGCAAAAAACTGAACGGGGGGGGGGGGAAATGTTGGATTTTGAAGTGACACATCAGTTGTGATCAAGATATTTTGTAACCCTGTAATTAAGCATGGGCTTCATTTTGATTTGCAAATGCTTTTTTTAATTAAATGTTTGATTTATAGTTAAAAATAAAATACGAGAAATAGACATTTGGACAATGTCAAATTTTTTCTAACAATAAAAGTATATTGTTCATGTATGTGTACAAAAATAACCTTTCTCAAAATATTAGATGTCACAGAATAAAATCCAAGATTCTGAATCCAACTTTATGGCATCAGCGCCTAAATTGGCCCAGCTTTGTTGTTAAATTGAATGAAGCAACCATCACTTGGGTAGCTGTACTTTGGTTTTAGGAAAAGAAAGCAAATAATTTATTACAATCTAGATTTTTAAACTGCATTTCAGGATAAATAATTATTTGGATAGGGTTTACAATAATTACTATACAATTTAACCAATATTTATTGAGTATTTTTGCTTCCGAGGAGAATCGCTTGTGGGCTTTTCTTCTCAAATAATTTAGGTCAGTCTTGGGTACTGTGCCTTTTTAAGGCACATACACTTGGTTTGAACATCACACAAAGCCAGAATACTTTTTTAAAAGGATAAACCATAGTTTATGGCTTAATTGCTGCCCCTGGGCCAATTCCTGTCAGCTTTTGCTGATAAAGATCTATATGGTGTATATATCAGAAATATATGAGAAAATGAATGTAATACAAGCACACACACACACACACACACACACCCCAACCAAAAGACCAGGCATTCTCATAACTTTAAGGTATTTTGAGGCTTGCAAGTGAGATGCTGGGCATGGTAATCCAAAATCAAATCAATGCACATTGTTTTAGCGTGATGTGAGAAGCCAACGCTTCAGTCTGAGCAACTTACTTGATCATATTTTCAGAGAATTTTGAAAATCAAAGTTTTGAAAGGACTTTAGAGATCAGTTAGTCCAGCTCTCTCACTACTGCAGCAGCAGATTTGCAAACAAGGACCAAACACAACTATTTTGGTGTTAAATAGGCCACAGTTTTATTTGGGAGTTTAGCTGAAAGAGTGAGAGGAGTAAGTGGAGGTTAGCAAGTCAAACAGTAATAACAAGTAATCTTCTAAATGTTTTGTCAGAACATCAGGTAGTATAATTAACATTTTACAAGGAAATAAAATCTCAGCACTCTGCACATATTGACTATGTTAAAATGGAATGAGTAACCAAAATGGTTAAAAATTCTAGCTTCTTGTTCACAACAGACAGGTTCGGATAGACTTCCCAGCTGTTCTTGCATAGCTCTTCCCGCCAAATGAAGTAGGAAAATTAACCAGAAACAAAAACAAAAATGTGTTACATCCAAACCTAGCCTCCATGGTTTATCAGTTCTTTAACAAAATCGATGCTAAAGCTAGCTTGACATTAGCTTTCTTTTTCTGGCCTTCTATGGATGAGATAAGCCAAGGTCCACATTCAGAGATAGTCTTATTCGTTTAACCACACCTGCCGACAGGAGAGGCCAAGCAAGGTTACTCAAGGGGTCCTCATCAACATAGCATTGCTTATGAAGGACTGACCAAAATTCACAGACTTTGCAATACACCTAAACAAGAACATTTTTTATGATCGGGATCCATCTTCAGAATTGGAGCCAAGCTAATTGGACAGCATTCCTATTTCTCAAAGAGAGACCACCTGAGAAATGGAACAAATCCAACCACATTCTTTGTTTCAAGGGAAGAGGTACATCAACCCAGATGACAACTGCCCATTCAAGTGCTTGGGAACCCAAATTTATTTATTTATGTATTTATTCATTTGTTGGATTTATTCCCCATTGTAATTGACTGACTCTCCATTTTGGCATTGTCTAAATTTCAATCCAAGCTGGCCGCCTTCTTTCTTTCCACTTCTGATTTGTGACAACAATCACAGCATGACAGAAAGGAATACAGTACTGATGATAGAAGTAGAGTTTAAACCCACCCAGACATTCAATTACCTTGAAGAGGTAAAAGAAAACAAAGAAAGATTGGAAAACAATATGGCACCTTGTGGCTTCCAAACAGTGTTCTCAGCCTTCCAAATTACTAATGACTGGATGAAACCTCCCAGTCATATTTAAGGGTAGGGATGACAGAGAAAGTTTAGAATAGGCAAAGAAGGCACAAACATCTTATCAAGAAGGGGTGCCTGCAGCCCCAGGGCCACAAGTAACTTTAAGTTTTCTTTCTGCAATCCTCAAAACCCCCCTCCCCTCCATAACTGCTGAAAAGTGATGATTCAGTTCTCCACCATACTGAGATGGGAACCCATAGGATAAGCCCTAATGTGGGTATATTATTGTTTCAAAAGAGAAGGAAATAGCTCAACATTTGCCCCCCATCCATAGGTGTGGTTTTGCAGCACCAGGTTTGCAGGCCTCAGACCCCACTCTGTAGAACATGTTTGCTATCAAATGTTGCCTGCCTCTGTTCTGAGGTGTGCATCAGCTTTCATTACTCAGCAAAAATGGTTGGTTAATCAAATACTGGCTAGAATTATCAACAGCCATAAGAGGAGAGCTATTTTAGAAATCTGATTCTAATCAAAACATCCAATCCAATTCAGCTGTTTCACCCCAATCATTCAGAAACTCAGCTTGGTTCTGAGATTGGACTTGGATTGTGTTTGAATAGAACCTTCAGCTCAAATCTTGGTGTATTTATATTAAATAACCTCAGAAGTCACTCAGCCAGCCAGCCTGCCTGCCTGCCTGCCTGCCTCTCAAAAATCAACTTCTGCTATCATGTGAATTGCTGAAATATTTCCTGAAAGCTGAGCAAATTCCACTGAAGGATCTAAGGCAACAGAAATGGGGGGACTTATCCACTGTCTCCATCTCTACATTTTGTTAAGTTAGACTTGACAAATACAAAGAAGGAATGGTTTTTGATGGATGATGCTTCCCTCCTCCCTTTCATTACTAAAGAAACCCTTAGAACACACTAAAAGACTCTAAGGCTGAATGGCAATTGGAGTTCATTCATACGTAGCACATGTACAGCACTTTACTGCACTGCACTGAACCGATGCAGAAAGCACTTTCCAGAAAAACAGAAAACCACAACTAAATTCTTGCTGGAGAGAAAGAGAGAGAGAGATCTTCCAGACCTCCGATAAGTGAACAGCAGCCACAGAAGAGATTTAAGAAGCATAGCCCTTAGAAGATCAGGAAAGGTGTGATTAATGTAAGGAATGAAATGACAAAAGGATGGATGGGAAGCAAAGCATTCTCAAAGGAGAAATGCAAATCAGACACAGCGTTGTTAAAGGTGTTGTCTCTACCCGCTCCTCCAGGACTACCAGCAAGAGCTATTCCTGCTCCATGTTTGATCTCAAGTTCGGCTAGTGTAGTCGCTGTCTTCAGTTTATGTTCATAGTAGCTGCTTCCTGCTGTGAGGCCAGATATGCGGTGGTACATCTCCATGCATTTTGCATTTGCCACCTGTGTCACCACTCTGGCTTCCAGCTCATCTTGTGTTTGATTTCCAGTGGGCTTCACATACTCTCCTACGGTGACATTTACACACTCGCTCAGGAAAGCATCCTTCGAAACTGGCTGGCTATAGTTTGGGTGGTAAACATGGGTGGCAAAACGGAGGCGGTTTTCATTCCACCAATGTTCCTCCTCACTGTCATTAAAATGAAAATACATATTGGCTATGGGGCTGCCTAAGATGTAGCTGTTGGAGTCTTCCACTGGAACATCTATAAGAACTTCCCCCATCACATGTTTTGTCTCAGCATCACTTGGCTTAGAGTCCACTGGGTTGCCACCATAAGGACTGAAGCTGCCTCCTTCTGAGGAGCTGGAGAAAGTACGATACTGCTCGATGCACATTTCCCTCACCACGTGTTTCACCACCCTGGCTTCGATCTCATCCTCAGTTTCATTCCCACTGGGCTCAATGTATTCTTTTACTGTGATGTTCACACAGTCTCTCACAAAGATATCTTGTGGAACAGGCTGGATGTACTGTGGGTAGTAAACTCGATCAGAATAACGATGGCGATTCTCATACCACCACCGCTCCTCGTTCTGGTTGTTAAAATGAAAATGGAGTTTTGACATGGCGCGCCCCAGGAAGTAACCCCCCAAAGCTCCTGCAGCTGCGCCTGCAATTGCTGCTCCAGCTGTGTGCTTCAGCTTAGTCTTGGGCGATTTAGGTTTCCAAGGCTTGGGGTCATAGTGACCCCAGTTAGGATTTTGGGGGTAATTTGGTTGATGTGGGAAATACCCAGGATTTGGCGGGTTGGCAGGATATGGTGGGGGATGTGCCGGGTTTTGAGGGTTGACCGGATATGGTGGGGGATGTGCCGGGCTTTGAGGGTTGACCGGGCATGGTGGGGGATGTCCCGGGTTTTGAGGGTTGACCGGATATGGTGGGGGATGGGCCGGGGTTTGAGCGTTGGACGGGTATGGTGGGGGATGGGCCGGGGTTTGAGCGTTGGACGGGTATGGTGGGGGATGGGCCGGGGTTTGAGCGTTGGACGGGTATGGTGGGGGATGGGCCGGGGTTTGAGCGTTGGACGGGTATGGTGGGGGATGGGCCGGGGTTTGAGCGTTGGACGGGTATGGTGGGGGATGGGCCGGGGTTTGAGCGTTGGACGGGTATGGTGGGGGATGGGCCGGGGTTTGAGCGTTGGACGGGTATGGTGGGGGATGGGCCGGGGTTTGAGCGTTGGACGGGTATGGTGGGGGATGGGCCGGGGTTTGAGCGTTGGACGGGTATGGTGGGGGATGGGCCGGGGTTTGAGCGTTGGACGGGTATGGTGGGGGATGGGCCGGGGTTTGAGCGTTGGACGGGTATGGTGGGGGATGGGCCGGGGTTTGAGCGTTGGACGGGTATGGTGGGGGATGGGCCGGGTTTTGAGGGTTGACCGGATATGGTGGGGGATGTGCCGGGTTTTGAGGGTTGACCGGGTATGGTGGGGGATGTCCCGGGTTTTGAGGGTTGACCGGATGTGGTGGTAGATAGGCAGGGTTGTATGGAGGAGGATTACCTGGGTTAACAGGATTACTTGGAGGATGAGCAGGATTTTGAGGGTTCACAGGATAAGGTGGAGGGTGTCCTGGATGTTGTCGATTGGCAGGGTTATGGGGTGGATGTGCAGGATTATAGGGAGGAGGGTTCTCTGGATGGTTTGCGTGGCTTGGATGATTTCTTGAGGGATTTTCAGGCTTCTTTGGGGGTGCCTGCTGGGCAGGTCTGTTCTGGATAGGCGGGTTGTATGCTGGCTTTCTGGGTTTCTCTGCAGGTTTGCTAGGATGATGGGAAGGTCTGCTTGGATGATGGGAAGGTCTGCTAGGTCGACCTGGCTTTCGATTACTGCTGCTACCACTCGGTCTACTGCTTCCTTTTTTAGAAATGGAGACAATCTCATCAGTCTGGAGCAAAATGAAGAGAATCACTACTGAACAGGTCAACAGGAGCTTTCCCATGATGACAATTCTGCAAGATAAAATGCGGAAGACATCTGGTTTGAGAAAAATGCAAATATGACACAAACGATACAAATCTGTCAAACACAAGAGAGTGGTGTTTCCCAAAAAAGTATTCAAGGTAGACACTTTGTAGAGTTAGCAGTCAAAAGAGATTGTGGGGCCTCTTGTCCTCCTTAACCAATTTGCTTTGAAAAGAAAATTAATGGAAACTCAGGAGAGTTACATACTTCTGGAGTCACATGGCATTCTGTGAATAAGGTTGGGTAGTTATACAACTAGAAAAAAATAATCAAAGCTCATATAAGGCAAATTCTTGAATGCAATGTACCTCTGTACAGAATAGCATGGAAAACATTTCAGAGAAGGAGTGAACTGGATGCACAAAAGACTTTTATGATACAATCCTTCCATCCAATTTAGCGTAAGAGATATTTCTGCACTCAGCCCAAGACTCAATGGAAGTCTAAGGGCTCAAACTGCAAGATTATACAAACCCAGCTGGGTGACCTTGGGCAGTCACTCCCTAAGAAGAAGAAGGCAGTAGCAAATCACTTCTGAAAATCTTGCCAAGGAAACTACAGAGACTAGTCCAGGCAGTCACCAGGCGTCAACACTGATTAAAAGGCACCAAAAAACAAAACAAAAAACCTTCTAGGCATCAGATGTATTTCTAGGTCATCAGACTTCTCCTACTCCATGTAGGAACATCTCATTGCCTTACTAATGCAATGGCAAATTACATAGATATGCATTTCTTGATTCCAGGTTTTCTTTTTTATACAGTGGCACCTCGGGTTACGAACTTAATTCGTTCCGTGACTCTGGTCGCAGCCCGAATT